AGCCACAGCGCAAATATTTTTGTGTTTTTATTCACTGGAAGAACATTTACGAAAATTAACTTTCCAAACACGAGTTTTGCTGAATTATTTACATTTCAGGAAGAAAAATTTGGCCTGGCTTCCTCTCTGTTGCTTGCGTCAGGCTCGTAGCTAGGGTGTAATTAGTGCAATTGCCACAGCAGAAATACATTTCACTGCTTTCATCATCCACAATATTGTTAGTGGCAATTTCCGGATCATATAACGCAAACTCAGATCTTTGAATATAAAGTTTCTTCTCTTATGTTTCATATGTGAAATGTACCAAGCATTGGGCCATGGAAAATATTTTTTTCACATCTGTCTCACTGGCTTCATCTGGTGGGAGAATACATTGACTATCATTATTGACCATCTTGTGAAACTCACCAGGCACAAACTCTTCTACAGTTCCAGGCTCTGCATTGTACTTGCAGTAAAAGCAGCAATCGTATTTGAAGCATTTGCCAGAAGAGGATGGAGGTTTTGATTCAAATTTTTGAGATAAATGTTTTGCTACTGCATGCATCTGCACTTGCTTCCTACGATGATTCTTTATATTTGTACCAAGAGTGCTTTAAATGGTGTTTTTTTCACGGAAATTATAAGTCTTCGAAACCCACTCCCTTTGAATGGCCTCCTTTCTCTTTCCAGTAACAAGGTATGCATCTCTAAATGCACCTAAGGCAAATTTCTTTGTTTGAATGAGAAGTTCAATTTCCCTCTTCTTCTCTCCATTCTCTTGACTCAATGTTGAATGCTTCAAACATAATGACAGCCTTGCCTTCAACAACCAAAACTTTATTTTAAAAACGCCGATTTAGTTTCATTTGACTCAGCGATTGGCAAGCATTTCACGAGTAACTCTCATTGGACTGATTCATATTCAAACGAAAATTTCAGAATCGAAAAGAAATGCCATTCAATCTTTCAGTTACACGTAATGGAATCAGTTATTAAGATAACTAATCCCGTTCTCTGCCGACAAAGGATTGTGTTTTTAATTTATTTCCCGGAATGTGAAATGCGGAGCAGTAAAATCTTTGATTTGAAATAGGTTGGGGAAAAATATAAAGTGGTAAGGATTTCATGTGATCTGTAAATAACTTGCTGTCTTTGTATAAACTAATTCCCATAAAAGTTGCGTGAAACAGCCATTGCCAAGAACATATGACGTTTTTCATTGTCATTCATATAAGTTTGTGAACTCCATATTTCACCTCAACCCCGTTCGAACAAACATCACGTTCCAGTTGTAATAACGTAGCTTTAATTGACCATTTATGGCAATGGGCAGCTAGGTGTTTGTTTTTTAAACCAAGAGATCGTGGAATGTTATAAAAACTTTTTGCCACCGAACATCCGAATTAATGATTTTTTACATTGACAAAATCATTGCACTTACTTAGGCTTAAGCGAGAGGGGTTAAGCAGAAATTTGCAGTATATTTATACTCGAGGCCCCCTTTACTTGACACTCTGACAACCCAAGTTAGGTCACTGATCGCAAGGAGCTTTTCAATAAAAGATTTATAAGATTTGCTGCCTCGTATTGGGAAATACCATTTTCCAATTGTTGCCACTTGCCAGTTCGCTTATTGACTTACTGACTTGGTCAGTAAAATCTTCTCGTGTTTACTTTTTTACACGTTCAAACAACAGATTTCTGATGAAAAATGAAGAATGCTCTAAAATTTACATTATAGGACCAAATGATTAACGTGTAACGAGAAAGGTTTTTGTCAAGATTTCCCCCGTTTCAAAGATAAGTTTTTTATGAAATCAACAGACCAGATGAAATAACAACCCTTCCCCATCGAAACGCCCAGTAACATATTTAAACAAACCGAGTAATTCACTGCCGTATTTAATACACAGTATGGACAACATAGATCATATGGACATCTTCTTGAAGTTATTTAAGAACACCGATCAACGTATTATTTTATCTAGTGTTGTTTGAATGAAATGAAGTTGCAAAAAATGTAACTGTGAACTGCAGCTACATCCTTGCACAAAGGCAAAACCATACGTGTATAGTAAAGTGATAAGATCAAACATTAGATGGGTTAGCTTCGAGTTATAACGATTGGGCAATCTCCCAATCGTTATTTTTATAAATAAATCTTGAGAAGTTCCTGGATAGCAGAATTCTTCCCTTTTTATTGAGATGGATCTTTCCTGGATTCAATTCATTCTCAGTGATATTTTCATTTTCAATGAAATGCCAATTTCTTTTAGCACACGTCTTTTTAAGACCAGCATCAATTTGTCTAACTTTAGTTGCTGATTATTTGTCATCTAGCCGAGTAATTAATTTTGATTGATTCGGCAAACGTGATAGTTTCTTCAGCACAAAGTATAGACGTTGTATGATGTCTCAAGCTCTTTGTTCCAATATGAAGTATTAAGCGATCGGGATTTTTTCTTTATAGTGGTTTTATGTAATCTGTCATGTCCAAAGTTTTGGAACATGGAATTATGGCGACTTTTTCCTATTTTTTTGCATTTGACATTTTACATCCATTTACGTGTTACATCATCGAGTCTCCAACTATGATGAAGAAGGGGTGTACATGGACAAACATGTTTCACGATCACATTCCCCACTGCCATCATTATTATAAATTTTTGCACGTTTGAGAGCTGGTGTTTTGCTTTTATCTTTTTCTTGAGATCCTCAATTTGGTGAATTTTTGGTGAATCTATTTTTGTTCTTTTTGCGCTTCTGTAGTTTCCATTTCTCGTTCTTGTCTTTATCATTGTTGCTCAAGGAGAATTTGTTGTGACATTGATCTTCTAATAATGAACATTTGTTGTTTATAACGGTATTTGCAGTATTTTGGTTTGCAAATGAGTTTTCTTGAGCATTTGCTAAAGACAGCTTTTTCGTAGCATTATTTGTTATTACCTTTTTCGATCTCTTCTTTCTATCTAGCAATGATTTAATATGTTTTGTTTTCATCATATTTGTCATTAATGATCTGGTTTAAATCTTGCTTCGAAAGTTCTATCGTTGTCCTAAGAGATTCATTTCTTGTTCTTTTTCAGTGAGTTTCAGAGCAAGGTTGGGCGTTTTGGGATTTGCTAAATTAGCTTCTTTATTTTGATTGCAGAGAATATTTTGGCTTTCAAACATTCCCTTTTTTGCCAGAAGATATTGTTCTATTTGATCTTCAAATTTGCATTGCACGTGGATCTTAAGCGTAAAATTTTCGCCGCTTAAATTGATAGTTTGTGATGCAAAGTTTTTAAATTGGTATTTGCAGAATCTGAATGAGCTGAAGTTCTGTCATGTTTGTCCATGTATAACCCTTCTTCATTGAATGCCTCAATCGATGTTTCGATCTCATGAGCAAGTGCTCATATCATTGTAAGTTCTAGCTTAACTTCTGCAATTTCCAATGCCAACTTGTTGCATTCTTGACATTCAAATTGTTCTGCCTGAGTTTCTTTGTCTTCTTCAGTCGACTTATTAGGCGTACCTGGAAGGAGTTATTTCGAATAGGTACTGCCTCAAATTTTACGTTAAGCACTTGATATATATTAGCGATTAATTGATCGGCAAGCGTGTCTTTAAATAAGATGTTGTTGCTTCTAGTACGCCATGTAACAGATAAGATATCGTTCTCAAAACACCATGTCCCTCCGCTGGGTGACTTCCAGTGAAACTTATCCGTAAATTTGCCTTTAAGTTTGCTCGCAACGAGAATCTTCAGCTTTTCAAGGCTTCCTAACAGGACAAGCTTCTTTTTAATATCAAATTTATCGAATAATCCAGCACCAGTTGTACACAGCAAAAAATTTGTTATTTATTTTAAGGAAAAATGGACTTATTATTACAACGGCCTCAAAGTCAATGCTGTTGAAGGAATGTGTATTTTTTTGAAGCGCTTTGCCTATCCATGCAGATATGTTGATCTTATTCCAAAATTTGGCAGACTAGAGCCACAATTGTGCATGATAGCTAATAAAATGATGGATATCATATTCCAAACATGGAAACACTTATTTGTAGCATTGATCAACCTTGGAGCATTGATCAACCTTGGTTGGAAAATGAGCATTTGCAGAGCTATGCTGAAGCAATTCATTTGAAAGGAGCAGCCGTTAGTAACTGTTGGGGTTTTATAGATGGCACAGTCAGGCCTACATCAAGACCTGGACGATTTCAACGACTGCTTTAATAATGGACATAAAAAAGTACATTCGTTACAGTTTCATTCAATTGTGACTCCAAATGGACCAATTATCAATTTGTTTGGACTTTTTGAGGGCAAGAGACATAACAGTGCAATGTTGGCAAAGTCACAAGTTATTCAAGCACTCAAAATTCATTCATTTGACACAAATAACAACACACTTTGTATCTATGGTGATGCTGCATACCCTGTTCGACAACAACTTCAAGGTTCATTTCGAGGAGCAAATTTAAGTGATCTTGAAAAGGCATGGAATAAATCAATGAGTAAAGTCAGAGTATCTGTTAAATGGATTTTTGGAGACATAATAAATTACTTTAAATTTTTAGATTTTAAAAGAATCTTAAAATTCAGTTAAGTGCAGTAGGCAAAAATGTACATAACATGCTCATTACTTCTCAATGCAGGAGCAATTCTCTATGGCTCGACAACATAAAAGTTTTTCAATCTAAACCCTCAAACAATTGAAGAATATTTTCGATAAAAAAATGATAGAAAAGCTTATAACTTCCCCCCCTTAAAATCAGAATAATATAATAACAATAACAATAACAATAACAATATCATACTTCCGTATTTACTTTTGTATATGTTTCTCTAGCTTTGTTTATTAGAAAACTTTGCAGTAAAGTCAAGAGTACTTGTGTTTGTTGTTGCTGCTGCTGCAACATTGCCATATTTATGCTGTGCATTTGTTGAAGAGTTTGCTCTTGCAATCTTGTTGTGTTCTCATGTTATTTAGCCCTTTCCTCAAGCTCTTTTTTCTCATTTCTTTATCTTCTTACGTTAAATTCATTTTCAGCTTGTTTTCTTCTCTTTTTAACTCCATTTCCTTTCCCTTTAAAGGTATTTCCGAGTCTTTTTGTTCTCCTTCAAAAGCCACTTTTTCTCTAATGAAATCCAATACACTTGCCCCACTTGTTCTTGTTTGTTTATTACTACAAGTTTGCTCTCCACTTTTTCTTACTTTACTTACTCTAAATGATTCAAGAGAAGCTTTTCTCACTTGATTAATTTCTGGACGTGGCCCTGTTGTAAATTTAAGATTATATCAATTAAAAGCATGCAGTTTATCGAATAAAAATGTATACGTTCAAGTAGTTGTAATAGTCTAGGGTTTCTTGCCAAGTGCAGGTTGATATCTTTATCAATTATTGTGGCATTTAATTTTTAACATATTAAATTTCATAATTATTTACCTAAAATCCTATCTAATTACTCCCAGACTTTTAAAGCACTTTTTTCCACAATTGATAAAGCACTCAAAAAGTACGGTCTCTCTGATCCTGACTGTTTCATACGATCCTTTAGCTTGCAATAGCTACTTCTTAATTTCTTAATTTTTGTTTCAATTTGGGACGTTGTTCTGTCGATATCTGAGTACTCTTTCAACATCTTTCTAACTTTATCGTAAACATTTCTATTATTTGCCATTCCATTTATAGAATCTTGGATTATTTGTTCACCATAGGCATCCATTAACGCAGTAGTTTCTTCTTCTGTCCATCGTGTCGCCGAATTAGCCGCCATATTTTATGTTTTTGGCACCGTGCCGTAATTGAGTATTACATCTAGAACAAGGCCGTCTTTTAGGTACGTGCCCAGACCGTTCACAATTTCGAGCACGAGCAATGTGTTCACGCTGGTGCTAAAACAAACTCTATGCCAGGGCACTAGTGCCGGGCACCTAATCTGAATGCAACATAAGACGACGTGAGCTGACCGAGAAGATCTAGTTCGACGACGCCGTCGTCTTTCTTGTGAAGAGTGATTTACATTATATGAGAAGACGACAGTTTTTACGAAAAACGACTTTCATCTTTTATGCAATTTTACTGAGTTATTTGGCATTGACATACATACATACTTACATACAAACATACATACATATATTTCCACATTTAAAAAGAGAGACAAACGTTTTTCCTCGATTTGGATGTCGAAATTCGAGATAACTGTTTTACAGGAGGTATTGTATCGCTTAGCGTTGATTCCGTTAAATACTTTTTCTGATGTATATTTTTACACTTATGATGATCTAGCTTAACGAGGTGCAGTTATGCCACACGGATGACGTACCTGAAACTGCACTTAAACATAAGTGCATTTGGGTAACTAGTAATGTCAAGTGCGTGGTTTTAATTACAAGTATGTTTAAAACTAGGATTGGTTATTTCCTCGTTTTTTAGTGGATAATTCTAAACAAAATATTGTGCACTCTATGTACGTCAGTATACAATAGTATAGACGTGTATAACCCGACTAAGTGTAAATGACATACCTATAAAGGTTTTTATTGATAAAACGACTTCCACATATACATGTTATGGATTATGAACGTTTTACAAATTTTGAACGATGTCTTAATACGAGATGTAAAAACAGTAAAATTAATAACTAAATATTTCACTGTGTACGTCTGCCAGTGTAATTTTGGCAAAGCTTATTTAGAATATTTCATTAGTTGGTTGAACCTGCGTCCCGTGTCGCATGCCGCATAATCAAAGAGATATTAGAGGTATTAATATTTAATTATTGTTCCTTTGCTGTATGTCTTTTAAATCTACTGTTCTAACTGGTGAATGTCTGCAGGCTCAGCCTCCCTCTCCGCCCGTGGTAACTTGAATCCCTATGCCATAAATCGCATCACACACTCGCATAAATTGACTTTGATTTATTACATTCATGCATACACTTCACTTGTCCTTTACTTAAGATTTTCGATGCAAATTTCTCCCGAGAAAACTCAAAACAATGTTGGCTTGCTTATGAGCATCAATGACTGAAAGTCTCTCGCAAGATCGTCTTTGCCAAGCATTTACAATTCATCCATAAATTTTTCACCCTCTTGAAAAAATTCCCAGTTTGGACAGCAGCATTCATGTCAATATATGAATTTGTAAAAGATTTCCATAAATTCCATATGATTCTAGTTTAGTTTCTATCATGTTTTAGAAAATTACTATGAAACCATTAAACATTAAATTTGAACAGTGAAGTGACTATGTTAGTTCAGTTATCTATTAGTCGAAATCGGTCAAACCAATCAACAGCAAGACAAAAATTTGAACGATTACACGATAGTAATTCGATTCCCTTATCGGTCCGGCCACCACGCTTATAGGTCGAGATTATTCCAGATCGTCTACTGATCTGGCTATTGACCAATCGAATAGCTTAAATAAGCTTTCTTGAACTCCTTTATCAGTCGAACCAGTCGAGCCACTCCGCTTAACAGTCAGCCAGTTAATATAATTCTAGATATGTTTTTATCGACTGATCTGTTTACTAAGGTGGTATTTGTATAAGTTTTCATACATAAATCAGAATTTCGTCAATGAAATCCAAACGATTACAGAACGAAAATTTAATGATCAAAAAAAAATTGTAATCATTAAATTTGATAAATAATTTTTGAACTATAAACATCAGTCGCGTGACTGATTAGACATACCCTAGATCCGCTCATATTTAAAAATCGGTGCTACAAAATGATTAAGGATTAATCTTTCTATGTTAATTTCAAATGATGTGTTTAGCTATTAATCTTCTATCGCTGCATGATTGACGAAAAGACTAAAAAAATGGAAAAACACTTCTTGAAATTGAATTGCGAAGGAGTCCTTCATCTTTTTGTGTATATAATATATAGATAATAAATTAGCACATGAATTTGCGTACTCAGAAACCCTTGGTCACCATCTAGCTCCTTCTGTACACACTGCTGAGCAGTGCATTCTTAATTAAAACATTTCATTGAAATCGTTTATAAAGTTTTCATTTGTATCGTAATCGCTATCATCGCACTCATCCGGCTCTTTTATTGAGCTGTCATCTTCAGAGGCGTAGTTACTGCAGTCAGAACAATCGCAAATGTCCGTACATTGCAAACCAGACTTCACACACGAGCATCGAAGATTCTTGCAACCAGCTTTACACTTGCATGTTACGCACTCAATAAGTGTATCAGAACACTTGCCAGATACAAAGAGAGTGTACCTAGGACCGAAGGAGACACAAAGGAAATGCAAAAAAAGAAAATAGGAGCAAAAATATATTTTATATTTACCTTGAAGCATTAACACGCGCTGAACTCTTATCACCATAAAGAAGACATACAATTTTATTTAAAGAAAGCACAAGTTGCTCAGGAAGATCAGATGTCGAAGCAAGTCCTTTAAATGTTTCGATAAACTCAGGGTTATCATGAAGTACCTTCCAAGGTTTCCCTTTTCCCGTAAAGGCACTTGTAGAATCGCAGCCTACGCCGAAAAAAGAAATTATACCAATTAAAGATTATTTTTGGCGCTTTTTACTTTTCATTTTATGGTGATGAAGTCTTGTTTTTTTTTCAAATATGCAAAGAAAAATTTACAAGGTTTTATGGATGTTTGCTGGACATATAAAATGTACTCACCCGTGAATGGATGAAATCACGGTAAGCATTGGCGCAAATCCTTTACGAGTTCATCTGATATCGATGTGATATTTATGGCTCGAAATTTTTTACCAGTTCCCGTCAATAAATAAAGATTACCAATTTTCTTCTGCATGGCAGTACAAATTACAAAAACATAAGTATCGGGGGTTTTCAAGATAAGATGATCATAAGTTTGCGCTGCATGCTTTGCATAAAGTAATAGGCGAGTATCTGCTTCTTCATGGTTACACTCGAGCTCAGGAATATTTTCTCGAATAACTTATTCACTGGCTGATTTTCTGGAGTCAACCTAATGCACTTAGTATTGCTGCTTACATAGAAGAAGGACAGACCAGAGAGCTGTGGTGATAAATAAGAAACAACTGCCATAAGAGACTCTTTGTTCTTACCAGAGCTCATAAACTTTTTCCATTGCTTTGTTATATTTTGGTCTTTGCTAAAGATATGGACAGTCTGGGAGCCTTTAGAGAAAAATAGTAAAACTGTTTAAAAACTAAGATCAGAAAATTGTTCTTATTTAAATCAATGATACCTTGGACGCTGGCTTGACGTGATCTTTCCGTGTTTTTAATGCTTATCTCATGATACGTATCATACACAAAATCCAATCTTGAAGCTTTCCACTGCATGGTAAGCTGGATTAAGAAACTAAAAGAGGAATGAGCAAACTCACCAAATGACTGATTAACGATCTTTTCAACGACAACGTTTTCCCTTTTGTGCGCTTCTCTGAAACCTATTTAAAGAAAAATCGCATTTTTTAGGATAGCGATACAATTTTATATTTACTTACCCGATGACGCTGTCTTGTTACTTTCGTGGAAGTAGAACGCTTTTCAGGATTTGATGTCTTGTGTATTGTAGGGACAGCATCATTTTTTAACACCGCACGACTAGCAAATTCTGATCCTGGGATTGTGATGAAGGGATTCTCGAAATCATCAGCCCGAAAATGTTCCGAAAAAGTCTGGAGTTTGAAGTTCGGGACCATTTAGCACGCTTTGTTCGAAGAAAAGCGACCCACATTCTCCGTCTCTTTCTCCCTACATCGTCGTCTTCGGGAAATTTATGAAGACCAATGTTTTTGAAGGGTCGGGAGCATTTGAGCAACCACCAGCTACACATCTATTCGGCATATTTTTTAAAAAATGGAAAAAAGTCTCTGTCGCTGTAGCCTTATAAATGTAAATAAGTAAAAGTTGCTGATGTTGGGTTCCTCGCTGTACGTCACTGTACCCAGGCTCTCCATATGTCATTTTGCCGGTCAGAAATTCCGATGTCGCCAAAAAAACCATTTTTACAGATGCTTAAGCTCAAAAAACTAGTTAGCATTACATAGAGCGAATTTGTTTTCAAAAAATAAGTTTATTCGGGGGCTATACTTCTTGTTTATCAAATAAAAAATTGATGATATGCACTTTAATTGTAACCAACCAAGCTTTTAGGAATTTTATCCTGCCTGTTACATCCATATTGTCATTGAAAACTTTAATTTTTTAATGAATTGTAAGGATTTTTGCAAAAATGTGATGTGTGAACTCTTTGTTGTGATTGGTCTTCTCGATTCATTGATTGCTTTTAAGTTGGAGCTATTAACACAATCAGAGAGGGAATCAAACCTCGAGAGAAACTCCGCAGTTCCACTAGCACAAGATGATAATCCTCCCAATCTAACATATGTGCAAATAGCTGCCTAAACTGTAAGACTTTAAAATCTGCGTACCATATTTGTCTTTTCTTTTTTGGAAGTTAGTTAAATGGATTTGTTAAATTGTCAACTTAGGAGCAGTTCTGATGTGTAGCATTTTGTCTTTTATATAGAATTCTTTTATGTCCTTCCAACTGGCAACATGTTGTCCAAATTGGAAACTGTACCTCATCAGATTGTTTCCTGTGCACTTTATTATATGTGGTGGATGAAACATGAGGTAAACTCTCTTGTTATTGTGCAGAAACCATGGTTGGTCACAATTTACATTAGACGAAGAGATAAGCTATAGAAGTTGGACCCCATGTCTGATATAATGCCAAAAACATTTAATCCAATTCCCTTCAAATTAATAATTAGTTCTTCGACTACTTCTTCCAA